TTGCCCAGGCTAGAGTACAGTGGCACGATCTTGACTCACTACAATCTTCACCTCCCGGTTTCAAGTGATTCTCCTGCCTCAGCCTCCCGAGTAGCTGGGATTACAGGTGCCCACCACCACACCCAGCTAATTGTACAGCTAATTGTATTTTTAGTAGAAACAGGGTTTCACCACGTTGGTCAGGCTGGCCAGGTTGGTCTCAAACTCCTGAACTCAAGAGATCCACCCGCCTCAGCCTCCCAAAGTTCTGGGACTACAGGCATGAGTCACTGTGACCGGACTTATATTGGCCTTTTAACATTGAATTTTATTTAAGGTATAAGTGAAATATTCTTATTTATTTCTTCCCCGAAGTAGCCTATTTTCAATTATTTTCTAACCCACAATTTACATCATGTACTATATTTAACTGTATTTGTAACTGAGTGTCTAATATGTTCTAACAATTCGAGTTTTCAAATATGATTAACTTCTGCCATGGAGTTAAATTTGAGCAGTTGCTTAATAGGATGATCATGCCGTTGTATACTTTTCTGTCAAATAAATCAGTAGTTTTTAACCTCACCTCCCTCTGTATTGAGAAAGAGTGCTAAAATTTTTGACAGTGGCAACTTTCTGGATGGTGTGCTTGATCTTCTAGAGGAACAATACTTCCCGCTTCACAACAGGATAGTTAACTTGTTTTTCAGTAAAGACCTCTGTAGTCATAGAAGATACATATTAAATTATTTACACATTGGCTATGTATTTTTTAACTTTTCAAGAATTGGATGAAACCAATGGGTATAATTTTAAAATGTTCACTCTCTATGTTTTGCTATTATTGAAACACATTTGGATAATAATAAACACTGTAATTTAAGAGCAGCATTGTTTCCTAATTTGTGAGATAGTCGTCTAAGTACTTTCCTAGGTTACACATACCCTGATCTCTCTGCAAATGGTTAGGTAGAAATACTAGCTGTATTTGTGCATAAAAGAATATAAGGAGAAATTGTATTTTAGATGTATTTCAAAGATTTAGTGGACAAAATGTATCTGAAATTACGATGCACTTGATTAAATGATCTCAGCTCTTTCTGCAGTTCACCTTCCCCACCCATTTTATTGTGATCAGATACAGGAAATCCCCAAAAGTGTGCCGCTCTCAGAAGCAGATGACCTCTTTAAAGGAAATTACTAAATTAGGAATTTTTAAATGAATTAGTTAATCTGTTCTTCTAAGAAATAACACCAAAGAAGAAACCAGTACTAAAAACACAAATTTTAGTGTTCTTGGCAAGGTGTTTTTCAATTGAGACATGTAAAAAACATATTATTTTTCAATCAACATCTGTTATTTCCGTTTTTATCTTCAAGAAATGCTTCATTCAT